TTTTAAAGCACTAAAAATAAAACATTTTTATTTTCACAGATTAAATATTGTTAGAATCAAGCTTTGATAATTTCTACCATTATCCATAGTATCTCTCATTTCACGGTGCCTTTTGTTTTAAGGAAAACGTTTTTAGCTATAAAACTCTGTCATGGTTTTCCTATAACCAGCACACTAGGTGAAAGGGATAGATCTAAAGCAGGGCAGCAGAGGCTGGAATTCCAAGTGACCCAGAATCATGTATTGTACATGTCACAAATTTGAGTTTCCTAGACCAGCTCCTGAACTATGACTCACAAAGGCAGCTCCCAGGTGATTGCTCCTGCCATTCTGTTGTCAAAATGTTTTTCCTGCATTTCAAACCACAACCGCAAAGTGAAAGTAAAAATTCCAGGAGATTATAGATATTCTGACATCACATCTCACAGATATCACATAACTCTGTGAGTCCCATCAGATTCCACAGTCCTGATGGCAGGAGGGCAACTGCTTTACTAATGCACTGTTGTTGTCTTCTCCATTTCACAATTTCTTTTTCACATTAAGCATTTTTTATTCTTTTGCCAAAAGTAATTTATTAGAAGCATTCTGATATTTTATCACTAGAGGATAATCATAAATTACAATATAAGGGCAGTTTTAGCTAATGTTTGATTCCAATTGTCTTGAAATATGTAGACTTAAATTATTTAGTGAATACATTGTCTACTAATATAGTTACTGCAATTAAGGAAATACATTAAAAGTGATTATAAAAATCTTATAAGGGGTAGGATATTTGATAAAAACTATCTCTGCTGTTAGAGCACCTTTAATTTGGAAGTAGGAGAAATATTTAAAAAACAGCTTATATGAAGACATCTCCATGAAATTCATTGGTTCACTGGTAAGTGAAAGCTTTGGGGTTGTAATATACATATATACATACATACATACACTTATGTAGACATATATGTGTGTCTATGTGTTTAAAAATTCTCAAAAGGAAAGATTTATGAAAGTATGGAATGACTTCTTGAAGGCTCTAGTCAGGATTAAACCAAGGATTCCAAGGGCTAGGAAAAATAATTGTTGCTATTTAGGTTATAAAACTAAATCAATACAATGTCAGGCAATTTGTCAAACAAAAACTTTTTTTGGAAAGTGAACTATAAATCATATCCTTACAAATAATTTCAATATTCAACTTCATAACTAGATTTGTAACTTTTATGTAGAGACAACTGGTTTAATATTCCTCCACATGAATCTTTTAAAAAGTTACCCCAAACCTAATAATCTGTGTGTATTTGAGTTAGTGTGTGTGTATGTGCATATGTGTGTGTGTCGTGTGTGTGTGTGTGTGTGTGTGTGTGTATGAATGTGTACTGCATGTCTCACTGTAGGTGAAGGCAAGACACATTGGATCCCCCAGTGCTAGAGTCACAGGCAATTGTGACCTCCGTGGAGTGTGTACTTGGCGTCTAAATTGGATCCACTAGAAGAGTAACAAGAACTCTTAACCACTTGAGCCATTTGTCAAGCCCCTGTCTTCTTTGTTTTGAAGAGCTTCTTAAAAAGAAGATAGAAATCTTCGCATGAGAAAATTACAGGAATTAATAACAAAGTTTAATGTGAACACATCTTTGGGGAATGAGAGGAAAAAAAACAGAAATAAAACATGAAGAAAAGAAACTCCATGTGGATGTGCTCTCCCTGAGAAGTTTAAGCAAACTTCAGAGAGCTCTGGTGATACAATCATACCACAAAAAAAAAGTAACTTTGCAAATTTTACGTTGAAGACATTTGGAGTTTTTGACTATAGTGCAATTGAATTTAAGAAACAGTTGGCACACTCCTTCTCATCTCTTTAGTAACCACATACAGCTCTTAAGGGAATGTCAACACTAATTCCCTAAGCATTGACTTCTCAACCTTGGAGCTGTCACTCTTTGTTATTGTGGCTGCTATGTTCATTGCAAGATGTGTTGTAGGACTCCAGGCTTCTTCCATTAATGCCAGTCCTGCCCCTTCCAACATCTTCACAGATTGCCAAATGTTGCCATGAGGTAGAATCAAAATATCTCCCCCCCCCCCTCCGCTTCATCTCTTCATCCATTGCTCTAAGTGGTACTCAACTTTCCTTCCTCTGCAGCACTTTAACACAAGTCCCTTATGTTGTGGTGATCTCCAAGATAAAATTATTTTCATTGCTACTTCATAACTAATTTTGCTACTGTTATGAATTGCAATGTAAATATCTGATATGCAGGACATCTGATATGTGACCCTTTTGAAAGTGTCATTTAATCCCCAAAGGAATTGAGACCCACAGCTTGATATCCACTGCTACAAATCAATGAAGTATGAGTTTCAATAATTTGATATGCTAAGATATTTTACTCTTACTACTTTCCTCTGGAGGTTAAAGTTATAATTTAGTTAACCTAAGCAGCTCAGTGAGATGCCCTGGGTTATTAAGAGTTAATTGATTAAATAAAACAATCAAATTTTAGTTATTAAATGTTATATTTTATAGACAACCTTCTAATAATTTTTGACAATTGTTTTCTTAATAAGCAATTATGAACACAAAATGATTGTATCTTTATTTTATTAAAGAGGAAGGAAAGAGTTTGGGCAACACAAATGAATTGATCCAGGCATAAGGTAAATAGCAGTAATGTCTACTCTAGAAGATGAAAAGGATTGTGAGCTCAAGAACAGCCTGGGCTAAATAACTGAGTGGTGGTGGATTTTTTTTTTTTTTTTTTTTTTTTTTGATTTTCGACACAGGGTTTCTCCGTAGCTTTTGGTTCCTGTCCTGGAACTAGCTCTTGTAGACCTGGCTGGCCTCGAACTCACAGAAACCCGCCTGCCTCTGCCTCCGAAGTGCTAGGATTAAAGGCGTGCACCACCACTGCTGGGAGTGGTGGATTTTTTTATGCTACATACTGAGACCTTGTCTTAAAAAAACAGTAGATCAAAAAAGTGAAAGCTGAGTTCCAGGTTCATTGAGAGGTCCTGTCTCAAAAACAAAGCAGAGAAGAATAAAGAAAGACATGTGAACTCTGAACTCTGTCCTACACACACACACAAACACACGTGCAAACACACAATGAATGCATGCACACACCCATATACACTCATACGCATGTAATTCCACAACTGTATACGTATATACACACAGACACATATGCACACATGTATACACTTGTATGCATGTATGTACCACACTGAACACATTATACCTACCAACACACACACACATATAAATACACAAATACATAAACAACCACAACAGAATTTTTTCCTCTTTTTTCTTTATTGCCTGAAAATTATGTGACAAATTTCAAGCAGTTGACCTGAATGTAGAAAATCATATCCCCAAGATTAAAAGAAGGAAGAAATAGTTCAGGGAAATTGTCTATCCCCACACCAGGAAAAAGAAGAAACTGAAAACTGTACACTGAGGAAAACAGGGAGACACCTTGACTCCTCTTGGTTTATGTCATGCCTAACTTATTTTATCATAAAGACTTTGAGATTAATAAAGAGAATTTATTAAATTATGTAATCAAAATATTAAAGAATCTATTTACTTTAATTCTTAATATCTGGGAATCTACTATCTTTAGATCATTTAAAAAGGAAAACACATGGTAAAATGTTTTAATTTCCTATGATTAAAAAAAATAGCTGCCTACATGTATATATGGTGTAAGTAAATATGTCAATATGGATTAATATTTCTTCTGTACTTAAACAGTAGCTTTCCACAATATGTCACAAGTGATATAACGAAAAACTCAAAGATATAAAAGCAAAATTAGGTATAACGTTTTGATAAAATAGTATTATAAGTTCTCCAGGTCAATCATGAGATTTGGTTTATTTTTCTGACAATCAAAGTTGTGGTTTATCCCAATTGTTTAATTCCCTTACACTTATAGTAAAGGCAAATCCTGGCTAATTTCATTCTCTCTCGTCCACAGCAGCATGGATGCCCTGATGATGGGTTTGGCCATTCAGTCAGTGTCAGGGTGTGCCAGAAAGAAAAGCAGACCCAAAGATGACAGACAGATGAAGTATCGTTGACAGAAAACATCCCTTTGTGAAGAAACAGTTGATAGTACTGGGAAAGGAAGTAAGCATGTTTAGGTATCCAAAAAAAAGATGGATAAAATAGTAAATTATAGCAATTAATAGCACTTTGAAAAGAATACAACCACAGACAAAAAGGGAGCACGTGAATTTGTTTCAATGAGAAATACCTCAAACGGTGTGCATTTTATCCAAACTATGCTCACAACGAAAATGTGATAAATATTTATTATAGTTTTGTGAGTCATGAGAGTTTCCAAATTCATGATTCTTTTTTTTAAAAAAAATAAATAAACAAATATAATTTTCTTAATTAAAAGGCTCTTCGTAAACTCTGTCTGGACTGGCAAAGTTTTAAACTTATATGAAAAGTTAAAAATTACGGCAGTACTGGCTTTAGCACCTAAATAATATCAAGTTTTGAAACAATCTCAACACGAAAAGATATTCAAAATAAGTGAGTGGAGTATATGCTTCCACAGTTGAGTAATGGTGTTTATTGTAGCTGAACATATCACCATGGTTAATTTTTAAGGCTATAGCTTGGAAAATTACCATTACCAAAGAATACACTTGGAATATAATATGAAACTTCAAAGTCTTGTCAATTCACTTACACCTATCCTATCACAAAATATACTAAATAACCATACTTATACTATCCATAAAATGCCAATAATTAAAATATTTACTTATCCCAGTGCAGCAAGTAATGTATCCAGGAGAAAAGCAGTCTAGAATTTTCTGTAGCTGCACAGAATATTAACATTAAATGATGCCAGTCCATAAATTGACAAACTCATCCACAGATCTTTCATAAGTCCAGAGATTCTTCAGAAAATGCATTGAACAATCTTTATTTTCTCAGAGAAGAAAAAAACAGCATCGTGCTCTTTTCTTTGATCAACTGAACTTACCCCGTGTGATGGGTAGGAAATCCAGCCCAGCTCTCCTTGAATTGTTTTTGAATCTAGAAGATTAACTGCAAATAAAACAAAATAACACAAAGAATGTAAGCTCAATGACCTATCTCTGTAGCTGCTTCTGTTAACAATGTCTGTTTTCAGTATTGTTGTCTAATAAACACTACTGTTCTTTTTATTTTAAATACTTGGTAAGTACAACAATCAAGCTACATATAACTGTAGAGAAAGTGATTCAAAAGTTGTTATGGTTTTTAAATTTGTACATTTAGAACAGACTAACAATTGTATAAGGATACATCTGACAGAAGGAAACTCTTACAAGGGAAACAATAAAAATGCAAAATAGGCAAGAAATTAATTCTAACACAAAGTAACTACAAAGACAACTAATTTGAATTATCATAGGATTCCCATATGAGCTTTCTTAAATATGTACTATTGTATTTTTCATACTTACTACCACATCACAAATACCAAACATATTATACAAATTATATTTGTAACGTTTAAATTATTAGCACATATAATTAAGTGATTCATGATGGATCTGGGGAGTAAGTAAAACAATGAAGGCAATGTTTTAGAATATCACCGGTAAAACCTCAATTATGTATAAAGGTGTCCCACTAAAAGGCATAAGAGATTCTTCTTATAACAATATTACTGATGAGTCTGAATCCTAAGCCATGTTTATAAAGTAAAAGTAAAATGTAATTTTCATGTAGTTATATTTTATTAAATATATATGAAAATCATTTTGTCAATACCAACATTTTTGTGATTGTTATAGGTCAGAAATCAATGTACTAAAAGGGTGCTTCAATTTTTTTTTTGTTGTTGTTGTTTTGAGACAGGTTTCTCTGTGTATCCTTGGCTGTCCTGGAGCTCACTATGTAGACCATACTGCCCTTGAACTCACAAAGAACTACCTGCCTCTGCCTTTCAGTGCTGGGATTAATAGTATGCGCCACTACTGCCCAGCTGGGTGCTTCAAATTTAATCAACTAAAGCTCATTTTTGATATGATATTTTACTATTATTAATCGGGCCTGTTAAATAGTAGAATCTATGGTTTTGCCTCACCCTTCCACATTAGAAAACAGCCTCACAATTGACTAACAGAAGGTGTAAAAGAAGATTACATAAATTAAGAATCTATTATTAATGTAGACCAGAGCAGACCAGAACAGGCAATCAATATAAACAAGAATTACATTTTAAAAACCCCTAATATGCCTATGTCAAAACGCAGTATTAATCCCCATATTATATACCGCTCATCGGTGTGTTCAGAATCTGAGTAAATTGCTGAAAATTCTTTCAAATGAATCCCAATTAATTTGTTACAAATGAAATAAAACAATGCAATATATCAAGGAAGAAAATATATGGCAGAGTCTTAAATATTAAAAATAACTAAAAATTTCAAGGAACATGCTCTCTTGGACTGTTGGTTAATAAATGCATTAAATAGCTATAAAGCTTTTGACCATTCACCTAAAATTATAAAACTTTAAATAGAATTCTCTCTTTTTTAATGAAGAAAAATATAAATCCAATCTGTTTCTTTTAAAAATGTAATATTTAAAATAATAAGGGTGTCTAAAAAAGTCATATTATACTACTAACTACCTAACTAAAAATGTCTCTAATATATGTAAGTCAGTGTGTAAATATGCATGAATAGTTAAAACTAAATTCTCCCACCTGGGATGACAATATTCACTGCTCCCCCCCCCAATGAACCATAGACCACCTAACAAAAACTCCAGCAACAGTTGTGAAAAGTCCTCTTTTGAGTTGTTGGTCAGAGTTAACCAAGAGATTCCTAAAACATTATAGGGTTAATGGTGTTTTTTATTGCCCCTCAGAAGTAGAAGCTTATCCTTACCACTGAAGACACAATAAACTTAAGAATTGGTCCAAAGTGTACATAAGCGAGACGTGACCTGAAAGCTTCCTCCCTGAGGACTGTCTTTTATGATAGCGAATAGGGACATATGAGCTTACAAAGGAGGTAAGAACCAAAATGCCTAAGCAGCTGTCATCTTATGACTCACAATTATGAAGCATGTCACAATAACTCTAAGCGTGCAGTAGTGGCATGCATACCTTGGTGACAACCTAGGTTCTCTAATTAGACCTAGCTTAACAAAAGAAAAAGCATTACCTCATACTGGAACTCTAACCAGCTACCCACAGCTAGTGAAACCGTGGATCATGGAGGGGAATCTACACCCACCTCTTTACTAAACCAGTATAATCCATAACTACATTCTGAATATTTGTCCCTTTGTCCACAGATAAGTATAGTCCTTACACCTCATCAAAAAAACTACTCTGCAAATGGTGAATACTGTTAAAGAAAATCACAACTCATCAAAATGCAGAGTTGGGAAGCCCAGTCCCATCTTCTACATCTACAATACAGCTCTTGCACCCATGGCTCAGAGATAATTGTTGAAGAGTCAGGGGAAAGATTCTTAGAGTCATAGGAAGAGGGAGTTTGCTGTGGGATTGCATCTCCTATGCAGGGCAGAAGTTACACTCATAGTTTCTACGATAAGACTGCCTAAATATGAGCTTAACAAGGACATCAATAGGAATGCTAATACTCAGAGAATAAAAGCCCAAGAAGCCTTAACCCTACATAACTCGGCAACTGAGGAATGCCAACAGTGGGAGAGATTTCCCTAGGGAAAAGTACACAATTAATTATCCAATGCCAAATTATCAACCCTGAAGGTATATGTACAAGTAACATTATATGGAGTGAGCTGGGTATAATTATGTATTTAAGACTTTGTATGAATATATATATATATACATATATATCAAAAATTAACAATAAAAGAGACTATGAATTTGAAAAAATAGGAAGAAAGGTCATATAAGAATGTTTGGAGGGAGGAAAGGGATGAGGAAAATGATAAAATTATATTATAATCTCAAAAGTAAAATAATTTTAAAAGAAAATGAACTTTATTATGAATTAAGAATATTCCAATGGGAATCTTTATATGAGATAATATAGACACTGCATGGATTACAATTTTCATAAACCAACATTTTGTACAATATTGGTTTAAAAACTAATTATGCATTTATCTACAGTGCAGTTCTCTCTCAAAAAGCAATGAAAAACTAAAAACCACTTACTGATATCTACTCTTCTAATTATACTTAAGAATTTGGGAAATATAAAAGTACATCTTTACCATTAAGTTTAAATTCATTGTCATAATTCATTCTGGTAAAAATATATTGAGGTTTGATTACAGCTCACAGCCGTTACTTAATTTCTGTGTTTTACATGATTTCCATAGGAGATTCTTTCTTGGAAGTATCTGTCTCAGTGAGGGCTTCACAGAATCTTAAATCAAAATAACAAATGGTATTGACCAAGGCCTTCTGTCCTGACCAGTCTCCACAACTGTTAAGTCCCAAAGAAATCACACAGAGGAGGTCTACATTAACTATAAACGGATTGGCCCATTAGCTCAGGCTTCGTATTAGCTCTTATAATGTATATTAGCCCATTATTCTTGTCTGTGTTAGCCATGAGGCTCAGTACCTTTTTTAGCGGGGCAGTCACATTTTGCTTCTTTTGTGGCTGGGCAAGGACTGCGTAGGAATGGGCTTCCTTCTTCCCAGAATTCTTCAGTTTTCCTTGACCCAACTCTAATTCCTGTCTGGTTGTCCTGCCTATACTTCCTGCCTGGCTACTGGCCAATCAGTTTTTATTTAAAATATAATTGACAGAATATAGACAGTTGTCCCTCACCAAAATAGCCCTATTAGATTTCTTAAACTTCTCTCTCAAACTTCAGAACACAGGACTTCATCCTCTGCACTGCTCTGAATATTCCTATCTCCTAAGCTCCCACAGAACATTCTTCTAGCCTAAAGTTCCAAAGTCCTTCCACAATTCTACCAGAAACATTGTCAGGCCTGTCACAACAATACTCCACTCTGCTGGTACCAACTTCTGTCATAATTAGGGTTTCTTTTGCTGTTTCAAAACACCGTGATCAACAAGCAAGTTGGGGAGGAAAGGGTTTATTTGGCTTACATTTATAGATCAGAGTCTATCATTTTAAGATGTCAGAACTGAAACTCAAGCAGGGCAAGAACCTGGAGGTAGGAGCTGCTGCATGGAGGAGAGCTGTTTACTGGCTTGCTCAGTCTACTTTTTAATAGAACCCAAGACCACCAATCCAGGGATAGTACCACCCACACCCACAAAGGTTTTGCTCCCCCCTCCCCCCCCCGCGTTGATCACTAATTGAGAAAAATACTTTAGAGCTGGATTTCATGAAGGCATTTCCTCAATGGAGGCTTCCTCCTTGATGAGTCTAGCTCGTGTCAAGTTGACACACAAAACCAATCAGAACAGTATTCATTACGTCATTGTCACCAGTGTATCTAGGGTTCTAAACAGATGAAGGTGTCATTATATATGTGATAGCTGAATTGGTACTGGACAGTATTGGTGTGCCACATCACATACTATGATGAATAATTGACTTAATTTCAATATTTATAATCAGCAAAAAAGCAATGTGTGAAGCAAAGAAGAAACAATTATGACATTTTCTCTTAGTAAATAATTCAATGTAAGGCAAGTTTAAAACTAAAGAATTACCTTAAATTGCCCTTCATGTTAATGATAAGGGAAAAAGACCAATCACACCTGCATATGGATTCTGTTCAAAGAACAACTAATCCAGAATGAATAATAGTACCGAAAGTCAATTAAAATAAGTGTATAGATTAATCAAAATATTTTCACCTTCTTATAAGTTGCACTTTTAGTGTATTTAATTTATGGTGAGTAAAGAAAACACCACCATTACTCACAATTTTGATCCTGCTATTTATCAAACATAATTTTGTTAAACATGGTTATCTTGTGATATTACTATACTGATCCAATCACATAAATATACTTTGAATCACTATGAGCCTCTAACAAGCTATGGAGCCAGTGTTCTTGTAAAATTACTACATGAAACAACACTTCCACTTTGACTTCTGAATTGTGTTTATATCAACC